AATCGCTGGTCTTCTTGCCCAACGAGGTGTTAGAATAAGTGACACAATCACCCTATACACAAGAATTCTTCTAGCCACTTAAAATCTTCATAAAATAGACCATGGAGGGTCTAGTGGAACCGGGAGCACTCGAGGGAGCAGATGGAAGAAAAGCATGGCTAAATTATTGAGTTGCTCTCGCTAGGGTTGGATAGGTATTTATAGCTGGCCTGAAAAGATGAATCCAAGTGCCCATGAAGCAGTGACTGTGGACCAATCAGGAATACATATATGATAATTTTGGAATAAAATTACTTTTATCCCAAAATTGGGGGGCATGTGTTTACACCAAAATTTAAAAGAAGATGTTGCAGGGACTCGAAAGCTTCCAACATCATGTCATCAAGGAATCAATTACATGCAGATCGGGATCAGCTGATTCAGATGCAAAAAATGGAATTGGCTTTCCACAGATAGCGCCAGCGGATAACAACAGAGGCTACGTTCGACGCCAGGACGAAGCATGCCGGATTCTACAAAAAGGAAAAGATTAGAGTCCAAGTTATCTTAAATTAGGAATGTTTTCTTTAGGATTAAAAATTGTAATAAGTCGTCCTTAGACAGGAGTCATGCACAGGGCCCGGGTATAAATACCAAACCCCGGCTATTGTAAAAAGGCAATCAATCAATCAATCCAATACACAAGTTATTTACTTTTTCGGCTTCAGCCACCCCTTAGAGTAGGAGTAGAGTAGATTTCGACGAGTTCTTCAGCAAGTACGGCTGCATCGATCCGGTCGACCTCCACTGCTTGTCTGTAAGTATCATCATGGTTTATACCTCTGTTCGTATGGCTGCATCGATCCGGTCGACCCTCACCGCGGCTCTGATATAAGCTAGTTATCGACTCTTGTTTAATTCAAGTATGGCCTGTGTGATTCTACCTCACACCCCACTGCTTGAATTAAATCAAGGTCAAGTTATCGGCTCTATCTTAGAATGGCAGTCTTTGGTAGATTCATTAAGTTACCGATATTGCTTATTGCTTTCATTATTTATCTAATTACAACAATATCACTCTGCCCGATTAAGATTGATTTAGATCGGCCTTATATCTTATTTGACCCATCGTTTGCTAACCTAAAACTGATCTAATCTACACCTTAAACGATGAGTTATGTTTTATCGGCTGTTTTACATCAATCTTAATCATGCATAACGTGCGGTTAAGGCATGTTGCGTCTTGAGTAGATCTATTGGCTAGCGAGAACCGTTCCACGGCCCGTTATCATGGCCTGTGTGATTCTACCTCACACCCCACTGTTAGCACCGTAGAGTGGGGATCGTTATTTAGTAGATCTATTCCTGGTAAGGCATGACTTTAACTGCGCGTTAAGCCTGAATCGGCTGTTTTAGTCGATATCGAGCGCTTTCACGAATAGTTCGCATCACGAGACCGTTGAAGTAAAGATAGGTTGAAAGATGTGTTAGCTCCATGATCTTATTATTGTATTACGGCCTGCATGATTCTGCCTCATGCCCCACTGATATTAGTAATGAGTTAGGGTCGTCGAGTATATTGTTATTTCTACGGCCTGCATGATTCTGCCTCATGTTCCACTGGTCATGATGATAGATGAGATCTAACATGTTCATTAAAATTATCTTTATTAAACGGTTATGTGGTGTTGAATTGTTTCTTTATATAAAAAGGGGTTCGGTTACTTATAATCATTGGCTCAGCACAAACCGATCATTGTTGACATCTTATTGCCATTGATTAATATCTGTTCGATTAATGATATTTATCCTGAATGATAACCGATTCTTCTTACGTAACCACATGAGATTTAACTGATTTATTCTCATGAATATACTAGAATCGACTATTTAGTCGATCTCCTTTCATATCGGCTCTTATAGCCACACATTCGGGGCTGTCTGACAACACCGGCAAGTTTCGCCCTTAATTACTGATGAACTTTCTTTCCTTGTCAATTACAGGGTCAAATTGACTGGCACGTCTCGGGAGGATTACGCAGGATCGACCATCCATGCGCTGAAGCTAGGTGGATCTGCTCCATCGAGCGGATCCTTCCGGCTTGCTGCGTGTGTTCTCGGTAAGGGACAAAAATTTTGTGTCGACAAATTCACATGGAGAAGTTGTGTTGTAATATGTGGCGTCGAGCTTTGTTCACGGCCCTCGAAGACTTAGCCCTAAAACGGCAGGAGCTGTGTGGTTGCAAAACCAAATGGCAGCGGCATCCCCTGTTGGCTGCTGTCCAAACAGAGGCCAGAGCCAAAGGAGGACGCCACCGCCTGAAACTGAAAGGGAGAGAGAGAGAGAGGCAGACGCCACCGCCGATAAAACTGAAAGCCATGCCCAGCCGTGCTATGCTCTCCGTCTCTTTCATGTCTCATTTCCTAACCCTGGTGGATATGTATGGCGGGGTCAGCGGTCACCTTCTCCCCTCCCCTCCCCTGGATGGCTGGATGGATGGATCGTGACACTGATGCCACAACAACCAGCCTAGCCTCCCTATCATTTCCCTCGCCAACAGTAGATTGCAAACAAAAGTCCGCCCGGCCTCTTGATGAAATACGTGCACGAAACAAACAAACAAATGCCTTGTTTAGATTGAAAAAAATTTCAATCCGATGAATAGTAGCACTTTCGTCTTATTTGGTAAATATTGTCCAATCGTGGACCAACTAAGCTCAAAAGATTCATCTCGTGATTTCCAACTAAACTGTACAATTAGTTATTTTTTTTACCTATATTTAATGCTCCATACAAACAGCTAAAAATTGATGTGATGGAGAGAGAGTGAAAAAATTTGGAATTTTAAGGATATCTAAACAAGGCCAAACAAACAAAAGCGAGTGCTGCTCCGTTTGCACTGCATTGCATATCCCAAGTCATCTTCTCATCCCCTGTACTGTACCGTAGCACAGCGCAAAGTCAGGCAGGGCACACGTGCCACGGGAGTACCAAAATACACCCACCCTTTGAATTTTCGAAATGTGCATGCATGTGGCGCTGCCGTGCTGCAGACTGCAGGTGCATGCGTTTGAGTGTTCACAGGCAGCACATGCCTCCGCACTTGCGTTGCCAACGACCGGATGGATTCCGCCGCGCAGGAACAAGAAAACGGCATGACCAAAACGTGCTCGCGCTCCTCTACTTTACTTGATCGCCACATGGAGTGGACCGAGGAATCTCGGGACTCCGTGCACGATGCACCACCGTGCCGTGCGGCATCCAGTCCAATGCAATTCCAACCATTGTTTTCTTTGTCCTCAGTGATGTGATTGCCAAGCGAGTCCTCACTGTTGCAGTGCGGCCTAGTAGGTTACGTAACGTACTCCAATTATCCTCTCAAATGCATTATGCATATGAACGATATCTACGTGATTCTACTTCTTGCAAGCATTCGATCACATGACTAAAACTATTTGGAAGACGGTCTGTTTGCATCCATTAGGACTAAAAATTAACAGCAAAAAAATATTACTAATGAATCTAAATAGACCTGCTAATTATTAACTCGAGGGCTACTAAGTATTAGTTTTATTAGCAGAGTTTCTAGGGCCTGTTTGATCCATTAACACTAGAAATTAACAGCTAAAATTATTACTAATAGATCTAAATAGACCTGCTAATTATTAACTGGAGGACAGATAAATATTAGTTTTATTAGTAGGTTTGGAGTTGCTAATAGATGCTAATAGTTTATATGCACCTTCAACCCACTATCCAACCACCTATTAGCAAGTGGATCCAAACAACCTGGCTAAAAATTAGCTAGTTAACAATTAACAGCTATTAGCTATTAACTCGCTAATTTTTAGCGCTAATGGATCCAAACATACCCTACCTACGTGTCTTTCTGCAGTTGGAACAACTTTTTTTCGAAAGGGGCTTGCAATTAACAAACAGAAATAAAAAAACAAGCGTTCACGTCAAAAAAAAAAAAAGAAATGAAAAAAATGAGCTTGATTACAGAAACTGATCTAGCCATGAACTAATCTCAGGAAAGTGTTTTTTCTTCACACGAATCATAACTAAGCCGAAGACATTCTTGAAGATATATTTGCTTCTCTGGCTAGTTGCCTCCTCCCCTAAAGATTAGATTGTTTCTTACTGTCATGCTCCAACACATGACGATGATAACTTCCTGAAGAAGGGGACATTTAGCTGAGCTCTATAGGTTTCTATGATTTGGAATCAGCTGCCAGCAGGCCCTTGCAAAATCACATTGCAAAAAGAGATGGTTCACGGTTTCTTCCACTGAGCTATTGCACAGAGCACAGCTGTAGGATTACAAATGCATCTTCTTTATACTCCCTCCGTCCCCACAAAACATGTAATCCTGCAGTTTAAATCTTGTCTCAAAATTAATGTAATCCTAGAGTTTAGGTTATCTTTTTAGATGGACCCCATCAATAAAAAACCATTAGGCCTACTTAATTGACATCCAAAATTTTCCATGCCAAAGATTTGATAAGCCAAAAGTTAGACAAAAACATTGTCATAGATTTGGCAAGGCAAATGTGAAACTTAGCAAACCAAATACTAGTTAAAGTCATGGCTTACCAAATCTTTGGCATGCCTATTTTTGAAAGCGAACCAGTTAGGCTCATTGTACCTTTGGAGTTCTAGCACACGAGACGAATGATATAGGAGGGGCAAATACGTAATTTCATACTTTTACTAAATTTGTCTTGAAAAGTGAGATTTACATGTTTTGTGGGACAGCAGGATGTTTCGTGTACTAAGTCTGTCATGAGCCAATAACCGAAAGAACACTTTGTGTTTGTGTTAACAGGAAGCCTTGCATATCCAACTGAAAACCGGATGGACCCAGGCCGAACCAGAGAGCTGTTTGTGTTGACAGGAACAACTTTATTTGTCACATTATTTGCTAACGACCAGTGCCAGAAAATTTCCACATGTAGCATAAATCCATATAAGAAAACACAAACAAGCACTAGCAAAAATGTTTCTAATCTGCGGATGTTCAGGTCGTCAGGCTACAGGTTCCTGGCAAGACGAGCTTGGAGCACCCTGCTATCTTAATCCTCCGGACGGTGGTCAGCGCCGCCGTCAGCCCGTCCACCGACGCCAGCTCCTTGCAAGACCTGATCTCCAGACTCTTTAGCGCCGCAGCTGCCGGCAAGGCGAACGACCTGACGCCGTGGAAGCCTTCGATCTTCAGTGACACCAACGACGCGAGCTCCGAGATGTCAGGGACCTGGTGGCCGCAGTGGAGAACCAGCTCCGTCAGAGAACGAGCGCGGGGTAGCCTCTTCAGGTCCGGGCACCGGCTGATGCAGACCTTGCGGAGGCGAGGGCAGTAGTCCCCTTCAGATTCTTCCTCGAACAGCTCCTCAAAACCGTACATCTCCCACAGGTTCAGCAGCTCCAGCGACAGGAACTTGGCTGCGCTGCCAGTGCCATGTGTGTCTGTGTTGCTGCTCAGCCGTCGCACGTCGTACATCTTTCGCACACTCAGGGACTTGAGCGATGGCAGATGGGCGATGGCGGGGAACACGGTGCAGTTGCAGCAGCTGTCGAGTGTCAGTGTCACCAGGTTGGGTAGGGATGAAGAAGAACCCTGCATCCAAGCTGGAAACCTGCTGCCTTCGTAGCCTCTGATGGTAAGCACTTGGAGGTTTGCATGCGGCTGGAGGCCTTCAAGGACCTGCTCATCGGCCACATCTTCTGCATCTTCGTCTCCATCTTCGATCTCTATGCCATCGTCGTGCCATTGCAGTGTCAAGTCCTTTAGGCGATGCTTGTCCTTCAGGTTAGCCTCCTGGCCTTGCTGCCAGTTTTCACACTGATGGAGTCCTGAAATCCAAAGGAAGCCCCTCAGATTGTGCAAGCTTCCCAGCTCACTGATGGAGCAACGTGACGAGTCTTCACTGACATGGAAAACTGGCAATGTCTGGAGTTCAGTGAGCTCTCCAATTCCATTTGGCAAGTCAACATAGCCCAGTTCCTTCGTCAGATCAAGATGGCGCAGCTTTACCAGCTTCCTCATGTCTCTTGGTAGCTCTGTGAGGAAGCGGCAGTGTTTCGCTTCCAGTGTCTCCAGATTGCTGAGGTTGCAGAGCTCAGATGGCAGAGCCCTGACGTTTGTGTTGTTGACAGATAAGTACCGCAGGTTTCTCAGGCCAGCAATGGACGCCGGAAGCACTTCTGTTTCAGTATGGCTCAGATCCAGTGTCTCTAAGGATGTGAATTTCAGAAAGAAATCACCCAAACCAACAAGATTTAAGGTAGGCAAAGAAATGCTGTTCGGTTTCCACTCAGGTTGCAAAGCCAGAAATGTCTGCAGATCCTTCAACTGTTCTGTCCTGTGCATCAGTTCAACAGTCTGAAATTGCGAGGAAATGAGAGAGCAGTGAAGAACATTTTCAGGTATGCCGCACATGGGATCCTCGGACTTGAAATATTTGTCACGGGAGACGGATGCCACCACATTGTAAATAAGCTCATGCATCACAAACTTGTTATCTTTATAATCATGAGATGGTGAGTACTGAAAGAACGATCTGCACAGCAACTCATTGAAATATTCAGTTCCTACATCTTCAGGTTCACGCCCTTCAACTGGCCTAACACAACCATGAGATATCCACAGGAGAACCATGTGATGTTTATCAAAGATGTAACCTTCTGGGAACAACGAACATAATGCAAGACACCGTTTCAGATGGACTGGTAAAGCATCATGACAGAGCTGCAAAGGCATAACACTTTCTTCAAACATATCCTTCTCTAATGAAATAGTGTCTGCATGGCACAGAAGACCACCGATGGCCTTCAAGTTTAGAGGATTAGATCCAAACCTGGAAATGAACCTCTTAGCAACCATTACTAAATCAGGATTGTTCTGGATATCAGTTCCCACACCAGAATATTGTTAGAAAATCGTCAGTTTGTTTTCTTCAGATAAAGGATTCAAGAAATGAACATATGTTACATCTCTAGGAGTAGCAACAGCACAACTCTTTGTAGCCATGATAACTACACTGCCTCTGGCACCAGCATTAAGAACTTCTAATATGCTATTCCAAAATTGTTGGTCTTCTATGTCTGCACCGTCCAAGATAAGCAAGAATTTCTCATCTGTGATTTCCTCCATAAGCAGTTCCTGGAGGAGGTCCGTGCTAATAATGCTGCAGTGGTCATTCATGACGAACTCAATAATCTTCCTAAATAACATCAGTATGTCTAATTTATCAGACATCTGTATCCATATCATTTTGTCAAAAGCATACAACAATTCTTGGTCATTGTAAAGGACATTGAGCAGTGAAGTCTTGCCAAAATCACTTCCACCATTTATGCAAAAGACTGTACAATTACTTCCATCATTTCTATCCAACAATATCTTTTCCATAATGTTTTGCCTAATTTCATCTCTGCCAAGGAGTTTATGACCAGCCTAAAATAGTGAAGGGATAAATCAAGGCAATCGACAAAAAGGAGGACGGGTACTAAAATTATTGTAGTGGCGAACCTGCTAGTTGAAAAATATGAATACCTGCTGCATTAATCTATGGTTTAGTCCTTTCCGTCTTTGTTTTCCCATGGCTAACCATGTCATTGCATCCTTATAGGGAGTATAATGTGGCTCCTCCACCTGTGTACATTAGGTAATAGTTGAGTCAGATTTGTGATAGACATTAACTACATTTGTATTGCAAATTTGACATAAGTATAATTTTAGATTAAAAGCAAATCAAATTTCATTCTAATAGTTGTTCTGCATAACAGTGCTTGCAGTTCATCCAGTAACTTGTTGAAAAAAAGGGATTTTGTATTTAGATGTAGTTACATTTAAACTTGCACTCATTAACCTATTCTTACTAGATGCTTATCTTAGAATAAGATTCACAACATGTGGCCCCTCCAATAAGATTATTGAAGCCTAGTGCTGCATCCACCTGCAGTTTGGAACTGTTTGTACTGAGCTGATCAACAGAGTCCTGGTAAGGTTTCTTCCTGGCCAGGGCCCTGTAGGAGTAGCTGAGGACAGAAGAACAGGAGCCACACCGCAGTTTGCCCACTGCATTGGTGGAGACGACGAAGTCGATGGGTACTTGGAGTAGCTTGAAGCAGCTGCAGCAGACAATGAACGGCGCACCCTTCAGGATCGGCTGACAGTAGTGTCTGCTCTGAGGAGGCAGTCCACTCCTTGGAGAAGAAGCATTGGCCACTTCTCCTGTGATGCCAGTGCGGGTTTTCACTGTGCAAGGCCAAGAGAATCCATTAGGAATCTAACAGTGACCAAAGACACCAAGCATCCAAATGCTAGCAATAGGAACATGAGTAAAACCTGAAATTACCTCGAAGATTTGTGCCGCATCCACTGTCCTGGTAGACTTGGGCATCCAGTTCACTGCGTCACCTTCGATATCTCACAGTAGTGCTGCGTCCACTGACCTGGTATACTGGGGCACCGGATTCCTCGGGAACCTCGAAGACTAGTGCTGCATCCACCTGCAGTTCGGGACTGTCTATGCTGAGCTGATCAATGGAGTCCTGGTAAGGTTTCTTCCTGACCGAATCCTTGGAGTAGGAAAGGACAGCATAACAGGATTCACACCGCAGTTTGGGCACCTGGACCAGCTGGATGCATCTGGAGCAAACAATGAACGGCGTGCCTTTCAGGATTGGCCGACTGCTCTGAGGACGCAATCCAGTTGATGAAGGGGAAAAGATATTGGCCACTTCTTCTGTGCTGCCGGAGTGGATTTTTGCTGTACAAGCACAAGAGAGTCCATCAGAAATCTAACAGTGACAAAACATATAAATCAGAAATGGTAGCAGGAAAAAGAAGAATTAAAACCTGAAATTACCTCGAAGACTAGTGCCGCATCCACCACATTGGTAGACACGGGCACGGGGTTCCTCAAGAACACCGTGGCACTTTGGACATCTAACATGGCGAACTGCTATGGCATCTGATTTTTCCATGAGCCGAAAGACCCCTGAACATTACTTACAGCATGAGTAAATATTTACGGTGTAAATGAAAAGAGATGCTTGTACCTACAGAATTCTGCATGGGTGCAGAAGTCATTGCGTCACTGAAAGGAGCAAAGGCGCAATCAGATGGAGGAATTGTGAACATCATCACCTTGAGACTGATGCTTTTCAAGTGAAACAGGCGGTCTTGCACATGAACTCAAGGATGATGTTCAAGGAACTTATTCAGGAGGATTTCATCAGCAAAATAATCAGTCATGTCACAAGAGGCTGTAATTGTGTTGCTCATGTAACGGTTGGTAGTACTCCCTCTAATCCTCATTTCATTTACAAATTATAGGTCACTTTAGTTTGGTCCTAAGTCAAACTTCACTGACTTTAACAAAACATTTATAGAAAAATGCATTAACATCTACAATATTAACTTTGTTTAATTTAATTTCACTAAAATGTACTGATAGTGCAGGTGCATTTATTTGAACCTGTGGATGTTAATATGTTTCCTCTAAAAAATATATCATAGTTTAGAGCAGAGATTGACATAGAAAAACTGGTGTGATGTTGATTTTATAATGTTTGGTGCTCAGTGCTCTCAATGTAGTCTTGATGTGGTGGCCAGGGTTTTAGCTGGGTCGCATGTTAATGCAGTCATACAGCTTCCTTAAAAAGAATTAAAGAATCCTAGGATAAAATTGAGCTCTTTTACATTGGTTGGGAAAGTACTTGGGTACTTTCAGCTACTTTCATTTTTTCCCTAGTTTTTAGCCAATTAATTAATTGATAAATATTATTTGTAAAATGTAATTTTTATTATAGAGGGTATAATGGTAATTGATGTTTTAACCCTTCACGCACCATCTGTTCGTTGCTTTCTGTTTCCTAACTGTTTTTGTTCACACAACCGTGGCTTGCTGCTGGTCTGGGTGGCTGGGGCTTGCAGGAGGCCGGCCACGAGTCTATAACTCTATATTTTGCTATGATGAATGAAAGTTGCCCAATTTGACTTGGCAGCGGAATAGCAGTACCTTGAACCGAGCTGGGAAGCCGACCTTTTGAACCGAGCTGAGAAGCCGACCTTTTGAACAATCTGCGCATATTTCGACGGAGCTGGAGATGGCGTTCCTGGCGGAGAATTGCGAATGCGCGCGGGCGTGCTGGCAGCGGGAAGCGGCGGGAGTGGTGGAGCCGTACAGTGTGTCGTGACTTGTGAGCGTGGCAGCCGGCGTCGGGGAGGAGGAGGGCAACGACCTACGGCTGTTCCGATGAGCTGTGCTGGAGGCGGCCGCGGATACTCCGCCGGCTGCGGGGAGCGGCGGGGGTGGGGGAGCCATCGTGTGTGTCGTGGGCATCGGCGCCGGTGTCGGCGAGGACGCTGGCGACCTCCAGCTGTTCCGCAACGCAGCGCTGGAGGTGACTGCGGACACTTCGCCTGCTGCTGGGAGTGGCGGCGGTGGGGGAGGAGTCCGGGCGTCGTGGGCGTGGGCGCCGGCATCAGGGAGGAGGGGGCCAACGACCTACGGCTGTTCCGCTGCGCTGGAGGCGGCCGCGGACACTCCGCCGGCTGCGGGGAGCGGAGGGGGTGGGGGAGGCGTCCGCGCCGGTGTCGGGGAGGAGGCCGACGATCTCCAGCTGTTCCGCAACGCATCAGTGGTGGCGGCGGCGGACACTTCGCCTGCTGCGGGGAGCGGCGGTGGTGGGCGAGGAGTCCTTGGCGATGTGGGCGTGGCCGCCGGCATCGGGGAGGAGCGATGGAGGCGGCGAGGGACGCAAGGCTGGCCCGCCGTGGCAATGTACAGAGACTGAAGCAATTGTTATTTCTATATAACAAGGAGTTGTCTTCTTAGAGGACACGTGTGCCATTAAAAAAATTTGTAATTATATATAAGTCATTAAAAAAATTGATCGTATACGAGTGCTATCGTTCTGAACTTCTTTGCTCTCCAAGCCATTCTGTCGGTGTTCTGTTCATTTTTCACCGTTACATGTGGGCCCAATCAGTATAAAGGTCCAAAATAACCCTCTCATCCCTATCCTCTCTCCCTCTCTCAAACTCTCTTCTCGCGCGCACGGCGGCAGGCGAAGGAAGCGGCCGCGGCCACGGCGGGGCGCGAAGCACGGAGTTGGAGCGGCGCGGTGAGGAGGGAGAGGAGGGGGGCGCCGGTCCTTCATGCGGGTGTCAGCAGCAGGGCGACCCGGTGGGCGCGGCCTTGGCGGGGTGGAGCAGCGTGGTTCCACGCAGTACGGGCGCGCTCACGCACAGGGCGGGCGACGGTGGGTGGGAGGCAGCGCGGGGAGCGAGGTGGAGACGTGCGCGGGCGCTGTGGAGCTGCGGCGTGCGGAGGAGGTGCCGGGGAGGGGCCGTGGGCTTGCGCGCTCTTGCGGTGTGCCATGGCGGCGCGGGGCATCGGCGGCAGAGCATGGGCGCCTCGGGGTGGCTGTGGGGCACGGCGGCCGGCTAGGCAAGCTGGGAGGGAGAGCAGCACAGGCGCGCGAGAGGAAGGCGAGGAGCCGCGCATGGCTCGGGCACGCCTGCATGTGCGATGCCGGGTAGCGGCGTCGGCGGCTGGCCATGGCGAGCGCTGCAGTTGCTGTGGGCACGGGAGGCGTGCCTTGTGGCAGAACCTCCCAAGAAATCAGGCCCACGTGCACCTATCGATGTCTCAACAAACCTCTAATAGCGTACACAAGTTCCCAACAACTTAACAGGTCTGTCGGGTGTCCTTAGGAAACCCGAATCATCCACGAATCTTTTCCAAACAGGATCCCAATCACAGATATTACAGATTACAACAGTTTCAATATACATATCGGAGATTATAAAGCGGAAGACTTAAGTTTTAATATTACAAACCAGTTATTTCAAACTTACAAAACCATAAGTGTCATACAACCATAGTAGCGGGATAATATTACATTAACATTATTTATTTCACACAAACTAGTGCCTTGTCCAAAGGCTATTCATCATTCCTCATCGTCATCGACTTAAAACACTGACATGCAGCAGGGACCAAACCAAGCCTGCGCATGCGACTCACTTGCAACAAGGGTTAACAAACCCTGAGTACAAAAGTACTCAACAAGACTGACACGACGTAAAAGGGGCGAAGGTCTTAGGGATGCAGGTGTTGGGGCAAGGTAAGGATGTAACAAGATTCAAAAGTTCTTTGCTAAAAGCTTACTATTCTTGAGCCTATTTTTGAGTTTTACCCCTAAGTACTTTAGTTCATTATCTCAAACTAAGTGTTCATATCCCATATTTCAATCCTTTTTATTCCATTCTTTTTTCTTATGTTTTAGTAATTCACCAGTCCTGCATTACTTCTGTAATGAATCGAGTCTCCATATCCGCGGAGTACCGGCAATTTGAATTGATTCAAGTCCCAGCTGGGGATTCCTTATCACACGACATATGTAGAACCTAATCTTGCATATATCAACATCGCGACCAGATCCTCCCATACTAAGCCGTCTCCACGCCACCCAAGAGCACAACACACCTCAAATCCGGCCACATTCCAACCACGAGGGTACACGCTACTCCCGCAATCTCTCCACTCCCAGTGCGTGGACATTCGTCTTAGTATCGGATTAGCCGAAGTAGGCTTACCGGAGTATGTGACCAGTACTATAAAGTGTCTCGTTCAGAAGATCCACAATGAGTGGCCTTTAAGCGATATAGTCGGCAACATTACCCAACATTCAAGATAAGTCACCCGACTAGTCTCTAGTTCATTCTATCTTCTCTCTTTCTTTGGCCAGTATGCCATCTTTGATTGTATCAAAACTTTTACTTTGAAAGCCTATCATAAAGCATACTAAGCAATTCTACGCCTTTGTAAATAAAATCATCTTCAAGGATGGTAAACAATTAACAAGGTAGGCAATGCATCTAGGTAACATTTGAATAAATCAACTTAAGGCAATAGGTAACATAGGTGATAAATTTTTCAAAGTAAACAAGGTAATGGTTTAATATATAAATCGGGGCTTACCTTCGTTAACGATCTTGGGTTCCGGATCAGTACCACAAATATCGAATCTCGAGACAACCGGGGATTCTTCCACAACTTGCTCAACTAGAATCGGTTCACTCTCGGATTCTACACGAAATAATAATATATGCTTCAACATGATGATAATGTAAACATGATGCTTTCATGGTGCATGAAATGTAATAACACCTTGAATACAACTTTCCTTCATGATACAGTTGCAAGCCAACAAAACCAATTGACACTAACATCTAGGGTTTCGACAAGTTAACTTACTAATGACCTTTGTTATCACATGAAATGTCCTTAAGATTTATTAATTATAAGTTAGGTTTGAGCTCAAATAACTAATTAAGGTGCCAAGGATCATCATATGTTACTGACCCAAGGTCAACAATCAATTCCAAAGTCAAACAAACCCTAAATGATTAAGCATTAACTAAGTAAATAATTAATTAAATAATTAAGCCTAAATTAGGTATAAAATCAACTTTGTTCAATTAAGCTCAAAATTTTATGCAAGCTTCCTTATGACAAATTAGTGTACCAAAATAAATTTCATAATTTTTGGAGTTATACAGTGGCCTACAAAAATTATGGAAATTGCATTTATCAATTAATTGACTGAATTTTTGAACATTAAAAATTTATTCAAATTTCAAGTTTCATATTTTTAAACCATAATAGAACATGTACAGAAGCTACACACAAATTTTTAGAATTTTTGGAGCTGTAATTATTTTCCTATAAATTTTCAAAGTTGCTGCACTATTCAAAAATCAGAAAATAACAAAATTTCCCTGTTCTCTCTCTCTCTTCTCTTACTGACAGCCAGGCCCCGCTCGTCAGCGACATAAACAGGACACACGGCGACGCTGTCGACTTCGGTCGACCAAAACACGCCGGCGGTGAGGCTCTGGCGAGGCAGACCGCACCAGCATGCTCTACACCACCCCGTGAACCTATCCCTACCCTCAGAACAGCAGCAGGCGCACCGGAGGAAGTTCCACGCCGGCCATGGCGGCCACGGGCACGACGACGAGACACTCCCCAACGTGACTGGCTCCGACAGGGAAAACGACCGAGCATACGAGCAACAGGATGTCACGGGAAAGCTAAACCACAAGAAGAATCGATGAGAGGCTCACTGGAGTGGCTTGACCACGGTGAGATGATCGTGGCGGAGCTCCGGCCGGTCACGGGGAAGAACGCGTTGTGCTGGGCGATTCCGGCCAACCCAAGCGATGTGAGCAAGCCAAAGAGGAGCGCAAGGTCGAGGCGATCACGCTGGCTTAGCTAGGCACGACGGAAAGGGTTCGACGGCGGCTACGGCGAGCAGCGGAGCTAAGCGGTGGTGGAAGAGAGCAGAGAGGAAAGGAAGGACGATGGCGGTTGCTACTATTTATAGAAGGGAAGGAGACGTCCGGCATCGACAGCTCCCGAACGAGTTCGCCACGGAGGCGGCTGTGTGTCACCGTGCGAGAAAGCGATGAAGACGGTCGGCGGCAAGCAGCTGCGTGGCGCTGGCGGCTTTAAATTGATTTTTCAAACTATTTACACAATTACCACTACGTTTATTTTACAAATTACTCACAAATTTTCTAAAGAAGTTGAAAATCTCCAAAAATGAAAGTTGCTCAACTTTTCAAACTCTACAACTTTGCTTCAAGGAATATTTTCAAATTATGCCTCTATTTTGAAATTTGAATTTGGGGTGCATTTGAGCATTTGAATCATTTCAAAATTACTCCAAATTTTATATGTAAACTTTAAAAACTTTGAATACCAAAGTTTATCCTTATAAAATAAGCTTCAACTTTGCTTTTTGTCACACCCCCAAATTCCAAATGGATTTTGAAATAGACAAAAGGGGCAAAAATGACTTTTATAATTTGAATTTGAATTCAATTTTATTTGACTTAATTATGGTTTTTGACCAATTACATGGCCCATTAGGGTTATTTGAGTCAAATGACATATGGTCTCACATGATCACATGAAATTTGACCCTTGTGGTCATGATTTTTATTCAGAGTTTTGAATCACATTACATCACATAAAATAACAACTTATGAAATAAAGCTTATTTAGTGAATGCATTCAAAATTTTCTACTTTATGAATGCTTTGCAATATATATTGTAACACCCCAGGTGTTTGTCACCTGTTAAGCAATGGGTTTGAGCTCAAACATGACCTATCAAGTGGTAATCAAGGTGTCAAGATCAAATCTACATGATGGAGCTCCAACTTAAACTTGGGCCACGCACAATTGCTTACATATGGACCCTTGTTAAGATTATGCAAGAGTAATATTAAACATGCTTATTCCATGTA